CAGCTAACAGCCTGCCAAACCCCAGCCTGTCTGTGAGGGAGGCCATCCTAGATGACCCAGAGGCCACCCTGACCACAGACACATGAGCAAGTCCAGCCAAGATTAGCCGAGTCAGCCCAGCCGAGACCAAGAGCCCAGTCAAGCCTGAGCCGTGAGCCGAAGAAACCATTGTGTCAGGCAACTAAGTTTTGGTGTGATTTGTTATGGAGTAAAAGTTAACGTGTGCAGAAACCATCATATTCTGATGATGTTTTTCTATATAAGGATCTCTTGATCATTTTCTTACTCAAATGAGATCATAATGCTGTTCTGAAGCTTGGCCTTTCCATTTAATGATGTGTCTAATGACAGTTTCCCGTGAGGTATATTTCAGTCTCTTTCATTATTTTTAACATCTGGATGAAGACACTATTCAATCAGGGTCTTATTTAGGTGGTTTCCAGTGTTTGGTGTCACAACGCCTCGGTGAACATTCTTATAGACAGTATTTACATACATGTGGATTTATCAGATAAGTTCTTGCCAATACAATCAGTGGGTCAAAGAGATGTGTATTTAGAATATTGGTAGCCATCAGGATATCTTCCAAAACTATTTACGAATTCATACTTCCTTATATATATGTGAGTGACTATTTCACCAACCCCTCACCAACACTTTAAAATATTTGTCAGTTTGAAAGTTAAGAAAATTGTCTTTCATTACTGTTTTATTTATGTTTTAAAATTATGGAGGAGGTTGAGACAATTTTCATCTGTTTTGCACCCTTTTGTATGTTTTTCCTGTGAATCTTTTTTCTGTTCTTTGCCTGTTTTCTATGGCTTGTTTAGCCTTTTAAAAAATTGAACCATCAAAGTTCAAGGAATCTGAAAGAAATGTTACTGTAATTCTAAACACTTTTCTAGATGCAGACTTTTTAATTTGAGTTCTAGAGGATTTGAAAAGCAATGAATAATAATTACCTAACTTCATAGTGTATTCTGAACGCAAAACACTTTGCTCGATCAGCTAATAGAATCTCACAGCTAACTTCTAAGGGTAGGTCCTCTTATCCTCAGAGAGATTACATAACTTTGGGTCAGGAAAAATTGTGAAAGCCTTTGATATGAGCATGAAAAGATTGTTGGGTGTAGCACATTATTCCAGCATTTCAGCACCTTTCATTGTCTTTGAGCTATTTTTCCGCTCTTTCAATGGTAAAAAAAATCTGGTAGTAATGCAAATGAGTCTTGTTCATAGAAATGCAAATGAATTATGTCTGAGGGAGATACCTTTGCTTACCTCCCTGTGACCGAGGGCCCTTTTTTGTTTTTTTTTAAATCTCTATCTGTAATTCATTTCAGCTCCTGATTGTCTTTGTATGCACATCTGTTCTTTGAATTCTCCTTTGAACTGTTCTGATGGCTTACTGGCTCCCTCATTAATAACTGAGTTGAATAAAACTTGAGTACTTGTTCATTTTATATTTGAGTGATTTTAACCTTTAAAAAAGTGACCCTTTAACTTCTGACATTCTGGTTTCCTGAACTTCTTCTGCCTGGCCTAACTCTGTTTCTAGAGGAGGGAGGGTATGTGACTGGGAAAGGAGATGGGGACTGTGATGGTTTACTTCATGTGTCAACCTGACTGGGCCACAGGGCGCCCAGAGATATGGTTAGACATAATTCTGGGTGAGACTGTGAAGATGTTTCTGGGTGAGATTAGCCCTGGAGTTTAGACTGAGTAAAGCAGATGGCCCTCCCCTCTGCCCCCAGGCCCATGTGGGCGGGCCTCATCTAACCCATTGGAGGCCTGAATACAACAAAAAGGTGGAGGCCTCGTTCTCTCAGCCTGATTGCCTTGATCCTGGATGCAGGTCTCCTCCAGCCTTTGGTCTTACACTGGAGCTTGTACCCTCTGCTCTCCCAGGGTCCCCATCTCCAGTTTGTCAACTGCTAGTCACGGGACTTCTCGGTCTCCATGACTGTGAAAGCCAATTCCTTATAGAAAACCACTCTTTCTTTCTTAGGCTTTTCAGGACAGAGTGAGGCTGGTCCCTTGCAGTCCTGGGAGGATAAACTCTCAGAAGAGTTTACTGTCTTACCCTTCCTTCAAACCAGAAATCACAGCATCCCTTCCCAATCCGGTAGAATAACCGAAGACACTAAATTCTGTTTACATTTTAAAAGAAATGTTTCTATATTTCTCTCCCTCTTTAGGACATTAATATCAAAGCCAAACAGAATGTGTTAGACGTGGGCCTCTTGCAAGGTCACTGAGAGAATGTTCTGCTTGCAGGGGAAGGTCATTACCATCCCTTCGACCAATCTGGACTGAGCTCCTGGGGTCAGAGCCTCAGTGGTTTCTGCCAATAGCCAGTTCCATTTACGAAGTGCTCAGCAGATCTGACTAATGAATGAACAAACAAGCTCTCCTTGGCCTCCTCTGTGCTGCTGTTCTCATCATGGTTCACCTTACCAAGGTAAGAGCCAGAAGAGCCCTCAGAAGTCATCTTATCTGACTGCCTTGTGTTACAGATGAGGCCCAGAGAGGTTGAATGGCCAGCTGGAGGTCACACAGCATGTCAGAGGAAGCACAGGTGCAAGAGGATGACCTCCCCGTTCCAGAGCTCATCCTGAGACCTCACACAGCATCTATTGTTCAAAGCAGAAGGGCCACTCCAGCCAGGAGAGATGAGAGCTTCCTTTAATGGTCATCTTGCTGCTGAGTCTGATGCAACCTTCCAAGGGACATGCACAGGGTGGCTTCCTGGGCTATGGGTCATCTTTGAAAGATCGTGAGGTTGATTCCCCCAGAGGTCTAGGCCATCTGCCTTCACCTGGATAGGAGAGCAGCTCCACTGGGGAAAGGATGTCTGGTTCCCGTATGGAGGTGGCACAGAACCTGCCCCATTTGGGGTGCGGAGGTGGAAAAAAAGCAGAGAGCAGGGATGCAGGTCTGCTGGTTGACAGGGCCGAGGAGAGGCTGGGCCTCCCATGGGTGGAATGGGAGGAGGGCCAGCCGGGCAGGGATCCAGGCAGGGGCCAGCTGACCTTGGGCCAGTGGATAGCACCCAGTGGGTGGAGCCAGCCTGGGACGTGCAGCGGGGAGCAGCATGGGACCCTGTTACAAGGAAAGGCCAGGAGAGAGATGTGAGCCCTCAGCTTTATTCTGGGCTGTCCCGCGGCTTCCAAACCTTTCTGGCGACAGCTCAGGGTTGGTAAGGGGACCAACTTGGGGAGAAGTGCCCTGGGGGACTGGGCGGGGCCATGAAACCTGGTGCCTAGCCCTGCATTTACAGCAATTGTTTGCCTTGGAAAAGTCACTCTGCTTCTCAAAACCCAGTTTCTGCATTGGCAAAAAATGAAAAAAAATTTAAAAAAAGTCCTACCTCTTAGCGTTACTGTAGGTATGTACAAACGTTAACCACTGGACTGTCTATTTTGTGTACCACTCCCTCCCCTGGGTTTAGCATCTGTACACACTCCAAATATGTGTTGACTCGGGACAGCTAATCCTTAGGGAGCACTTCCTAGGTGACGAGCATTCTTCAAGCCTCCGGCATTTCAATTTCATCCTCCTCAATGCTATGACCCTTCTCTGAGGGGTGCAGTCACTCTTCCAGGCCGCACTGCTGCTAAGGGCAGAGCTGGGATTCGAACCTGGGCAATCTGACTCCTGAGCTGACGTGCTCGACCTCCATGCACCGCCCTTTATTATGTGACCCTGTGAAGTTTTGCACAAGTAATTCAAATTGGTCCAGGTAGGAGGAAGAGTACTGTGATTGTTACTCAGTGGATGAGGACATCGGGACAGAAAGGCAGCGACTTCCCGCAGACTTTCTGAACATCCATGTCAAACCTCTTTCTGAAAAAACCGCCCTTGCACTTCACTGCAGTCAGACCCCGCCCCCCCACCTGCCTGCCCCCTCCCCAGGTGTTTCCTCACTTCCGGGTCTGGATGGGAGGTTCCTAGACAGTGGCTCCCCCCCAGCTCCGCCCCCCACCCGGGGCCTCAGCCACTCACGGCCACGTCCGGGTTTGTGGGCGGGGCCAGGTCGGCCTCACCCAGCTGCTGCGAAGCCCCAAGGCTGCCAGTCTTCTCCTGCTTCCTCCACTTGGCTCGCTGATTTTGGAACCAGATCTGAGATAAGGGCGAGAGAGGATGGAGATAAGCAAAAGGGATTTTCTCTATCTAGTACCTCCCCCCGAAAAGTATAGTAACAGCGCCTTCCAAGGGACTGGCCCTTTGCAGTTTAGAAAGCTCCGCGGCCCCCAGGATTTCTTTGCATCCGGCCCGCCTTGAGAAGGGACCCACCCCGGATCACAACCTTCAATGCCTCCAGGGCTGTGAGGGCTCCTGGGAGGAGGGGGGGGGTGGTGGTGAAGCAGCTGGGAGTCGGATCTCTGGGCATGCTGGGGTCTGTGGTGAACAGAGGCTAAAGAGGGCAGCTTCTCAGTTCTCAGCCAACAGTCACCATGTGGACATGTGAGCGCAGCGTTGCAGCCTCATCCAATATCTAAGGCAGAAATCTTGATTTTTATGTGAAAATTCTGAGATTTAAAATACCGTGCAGCTCAAATGAAACCCATCTGTGGGCTCTTTCCTGCGGGCAGGCCACCAGTTTGCAACCCTGTGGACCCGGGGGCACCTGTAGGTTGAACGTTGGCAGTTCCCTGTGTCCGTGAGTGCCCTGTTGTCCCTGACACGTGGCCGTTTGTACTTGGTCCTTCTGCTGAGGCAGCGGCTGAATTCTGGGCTTTACAGCAGAGGCAGGTGCTGCCCACTTAGCTGGTGATTGATTTCAGATGGGAAGAAAAAGGGGGCGGTCCTTAGCCAGAAGAAAAGTAGGTTTGGATGAAATAAAAGGTGGAATGTTGACTTGGACCCTGGCGCAGATTTTGAATTCCAATGAGTCCATCATATTTGTTTAAAAAAAAAAAAAGAAGGGTGATTAGAAAACTTTAAGAGAGAGTGTCAACAGTGTAACAGTTGGATCTAGATTTGCTGGAGCTGTACTTACAGAACTGGGGATGTGTAAGAGGACAGGGTATACCCCTGGTGATGGACAAGGTACTGCCTCCAACCAGGGCCCTGAGTTCAAGGCCAAGGGTTGACAAACTAAGGCCTCCGGCTAACTCTGACCTTCCTCCTGTGATTACACAGTTTGCACATTTTTAAATGGTTGGGGGAAAAATCAAAACAAGAATAATATTTTGTGACACATACCAGTTATACAGATTTCCAATTTTAGTGTCCATCGGTAAAGTTTTATTGGAACATCACCATGCCCATTTGTTTACAGACTGTAAGCCATGGCTGCCTTTACCGTGCAAGGGCAGAACTGAATCATTGTGACAATGACCATCACAAAACCTACCATAATTAGCATCTGGCCCTTTACAGAAAGAAGTTTGTTGAACCCTGGTCTAGATTGTCAAGACCTATTTTGTGAATAAGGCCACGTGGTGAACGACTACAGCCAAGTGGAGAAGAAGGGAGTGGAAGCAGATACCAATGGTTATCATCCAATCCATCTCTGCTTCCACCCACCAACAGGAGAAACTATTTTATAACTATGATGACCTCATTTCCTGGAAAGTAATATCTGACCAATATAACTATATTCAGAGAATAAAGCCAATGGAAAACTTCAGAGTGGGCAGCCCTGGAGGGAGCAGATATGTGGGGTATCACCGATGGCCCCGGGTGCCATGGAGCTGGGGGCTGAGGGTGGGGATGGCTGTACCTGCACCCGAGCTTCTGGGAGTTTGATCCTGGCTGCCAGCTGGTTGCGGATGTGGACGTCGGGGTAGTGGGTGAAGTGGAAGATCTTCTCCAGCTCATGTAGCTGCTCTGTGGTGAAGGTGGTCCGGACCCTCCGCTTGCTCTTCCTCTCTTCTGGATGGAGGGGGGTCCAAGATGGGTTAGCGATCTGGGTGTCAGCATCTCAGCCAAGCTTTTGTGCTGCCTTGTCTCGTCCCCTGGCTCCTTGGGCTTGGAGTTTTACAACATTCTCTTTCCTAGAAACCCTGCCCTTAGGCCGACCCGCTCTTCTCCATCCTGGACAGTGTGGCCAAGAATGACCTTCTAGAAACTTCTTTGATTGTCCTTTCTGCTGCTCAGATGACTTCAGGCAAGTTCCCATTGTCCACCACAAGGGACAGCAAACCACAGCCTGGGGGCCAAATCTGGCCTACTGTCTGCCTTATAAATAAAGTTTTATCTGAACACAGCCCCACCCATGAGTTTAAGGATTGTCTGTGGCCACTTTCGTGCTATAATGGTAAAGTTGAGTAATGGCAAAAAGACCACAAAACCTAAAATAATTCCCATCCAGCCCTTTTCAAAGCTGGCCGACTTTGGTCTACAAAGCAAAGACTGAACTGCTCAGTAGTCAGTGCCTTACAGCCTGTTTCCAGCCTCCTGTCCAGCCTCATGTCTACTCAGGGCCCCACTGCATCCTATGTGGGGCCGAGTGCAAAAGGGAAAAAAGCTTTTTCCTTTCTTCCACAGCCCCTCTCTTGACCTGTCAGGGTGGTTTTTATTTGCTACTTAAGGCCTTGCTCTGTCGGGGACAGGGGTACTAATAGGGTGAGTGTAGACCCTCTCAGTCCTCCAGGGCTCACCCTTCAACTTGGCGCCAGCGTGCACGTGCCTGACTGTGACCCCCCTCACATCCATGCCCTCCCCGCCCCCGCAGCACACACAGGGTTGAGGAGCAGAGGTCCCTGGGTAGGGGTGGGGCAACAGTGGCCCAGAGCCCATCCCAGGCAGGCAGGGAGGCAGTGAGAGGGCAACTGAGTGTGAGTTGGGGATCCAGGCCTCTGGTGCGTGCTTCCTGGTCCCATTGGATTCACTCACGAAACACAGTTTCAAACATGAAATTATTGACAGTTTTAAGATGGTGACTTAGCTTTAAATACCAAGTGCTAGGCCCGCTTCTGAGCGCAGGGCCCTGTACAGCTACACTGGTCACACACGGGCCCGTGAAGCCAGGCCTGAGTGCCCGTGTGCGTGACGGGAAATCAGGTATCCAATCTGGACGTGCTAAGTCTGAGAGGCTTACTGGCCATTCAAAGCAAACTATCAAATAGGCAGATGCTTATATGCTTGGAGCTCAAAGGGGGTCTCAGGCCTGAGGTTCAGATATGGGAATCATCGGCACATATTGGCCTCTGCAGTCAGGGGAGTGGGTGAGATCACTTAGGCAGGAGGCATGTCTGGGGAAGAGTGGAGGGTCTGGGAGTGAGCCTGTGGCCCCTCCACCATTTAGAAGTTCAGCAGCCAGCGGGGGACCCAAGTTGAAGCGCTGCCATTGATAGCCGGGTAGACCACTTTCATGTGGTCCCGGGGATTAAAAGAAAGAATGAACAGCATGACATCAGGTAAACTCTCCAGCCAATCACTCTCAGTCTATTTTTGGAGAACCTGACCTAAGACAGGAGGAACTCAGACACACAAATATCCATAGAAACCATGGGAGAAGAGAGGCTTGGACAGAAAAAAGTGGTCATAGACATCATTTTATTTTTAAAAAAAATTTTTTTAAACTTTTTTTAGGGGGAGAGGAAATTAGGTTTTTTTTTTTTATTTTGGTGGAGGCTGGGGATTGAACCCAGGACCTCATGCATGCTAGGCATGCACTCTACCACTGAGCTACACCCTTCCCCTGGTTGTAGACTTTACATAAGAGAGATTGAAGAGGAGGAAAAGCAAGAAACAATCTGGTGTGCTTATTGAAACCTATTAAGTGCCAGATATCGTGGAAGACCTTGACCTTGGCCTGTGTGTATGTATGTATGTATATTTCCCCTGCCTTGTTCCAAGATGGATTTGAGGCTTGTGGTCCTGAATTTGGTATTTAGGAGGTCACTGAGGTCCACAGGAAGATGACTTGGGTAGAATTAGGATGGCAGAAGCCAAGTCAAGAAGAACAATTTTGTGTTATCCCCAAACACACTAAACACATCTGATACTTAGTGGGAACTTCAGCAAGTATCTGTTGAATTAAATTGGATTGAGGTGTGAGTGGTTGGGTTGAAGTGGATACAGTGAATAAAAGAAGAACTTATATTTATATCTTGAGAAGGTTCTAGAAAGGCTGGGGAGGTTGGGGAGAAGTCTGGAGTGCAGTGTGGAGCATATCTGAAGATGAGAAGAAGGAACTGAGGAGGAAGAGAGAGGGCTCTGGTCGGGTGTTTGGAGCAGGACTGAGAGGTAGGCTGGTCAGGGGTGGTCATATGTCATTGAATTTTTCAGGACAGCATAGCACATTTTCAGGTCAGGGCATCTGCAGAGAGGGAGGGAGACAGGAGGGGTTAGGGGCTGGAGGGATGAAGAGGGGCTTCTGAAAGCCGCACTGGAGAAGCGCTAGGGAAACTAGAAGAGCAAGGAGAATGGCCCTGCTTGCAGCCTTGCTGTGCCTCCTGATGGAGCTAGGACAGGGCGGACCCTGGGGGAAGCACCACACCAGGTGGGGCGGGTTTGTCTTCCTGATCATGGACTTCTGAGGCCAGCGTTACAACTTGAGTCTTACTTGGAACAAAGACCATGTGATGTAATTTTAGGAACTGTAGGAAAGATACAGCTCCCCCTCCCCAAATCACCTTCACTTTTGGCACCCGCTAGAATTCCTACCATTCTAGTGGACCACCATGGCTCCTGAGTTCTTTCTCACTTCTGTAGGAAAACTTTGCCCTCAGAAAGTGATGGCGAAGGGGGGAGGGTATAGCTCAGTGGTGCAGTACGTGCTTAGCACAGGGTCCTGGATTCAATCCCCAGTACCTTCATTAAAAGTAAATAAAAAAATAAGAAAGTAAACCTAATTACCCTCCCCCCCCAAAAAAGAGAAAACGGTGACTCTTGGTACTTTCTGTCTTGGCATCCCTCACTCATGTTGGCAGGACTCAAACCGTCCGGGAAAGGGAGCCCACACTTGCCTGCTCTACTCTGTCTGTCTGTCTCTCTCTCTGTCTCTCTTTTTCTACTGTGAGCTCCTGGAGGGCAGGGACCATATCATAGACTTGCTGAGTAACTGGCGCCTATGGAGAGCTTAATAATTGTTTGCTCTAAATAAATAAATGTGAAATCAACCCACTGGGCAGGGAAGACACTTTCACAAGAAACAACGCTGAATGATTTATTTGACCTTTTTTGCACTGTCAGATGTCACAGGTCAGATGTCCTATGTCAGATAGATTTCTGAGGACCCAAAGCAGCTGGAGAGGAGGGGGTGGATCTGAACTTCCACTGAGGTCTCCTTTCTCCGCTCAGCCCACTTTCTTTCGCCCTCAAATGAGGTAAAACCACCACAAGCTATGAACTGGAGTACACACTCAGTGAAAAGTGGATTTCACTTGTGATAGTTTAACAGTTGAAGAGATCAACTAATTTTTTTATGTGTGTACTTAGTAGCCACCCTGCTATCGCTGGATGGTAGAAAACCCACTGAACTGGATATTGGAAGCCCTGAGCTCTCTTCCTGGCTCCACTCTAAAACATGGGCCGTATTTTATTTACTCTCTGGGCCTCAGTCTCCCCATCTGTAGAATGGGGGTGGGGGAGAGAGGGGTTAAATGATCAAGTCTCAAAGGCCAAATCCACCCTGACAGTCTGTAATTCTCTTTTTCTTCAGGTAGAGGCCGAATGGCTTAAAACGCCTTGCCTCGGGCTTGCCCGGGGGGCCAATTTGCTTGGTGAAAGCAAGAGGGCCAGAGAGGAGAGATTTCAGCTGAGGATAACTCTGCTGGCTTGGATGCTCCTGCATCTCTGTGACTTGACAAGTACACTTCAGAGTCTGCCTTTGGACTTGCCCCTTCCTACCACCCCTCGTGTTTACTCTTAATCCATTTTTTTTATCCCCTCAAAGTACTTTACTCATTTTTTCTGACTCTTGGGAGCTTCTTGGGAGTTGCAGACAGTGAGGTTTCAGCCATAATTATCCACTAGAAGGGACTGTGAACCGCTTGATGTGATCTGATCTCCCTCACCCTCCTTCTCTATCTCCCTCCCTCTCCTCAAGTCCACCCTACTTTTTAAATAAAAAGAAAGAGATACATATTCTCTGGTTAGAACTGGTGGTGTCTTTAAGGGATAGAGCCAAAGCAAACCAGAAGTGACGTAGAGAGAAATGGAAGTGTTAATCCATTGCCAAGATCTTACTGAATGTCTTCTGTGTACCCAGCACCTAATAGGCACTGAGGGCCTATCTGCAGAAGTACAGAAATTAACAAGCCATGCTGACAGTATCTCATTCATTCATTCATTTATTCATGAGCTCAGCATTTTAGATGATACACTGCAGTTTTGTAGAATATTGCAAAACAAATTCACAGAATGGAAGATTCCAGGTTGGATGGGTAAACTGAGTTGTCAAGAATACGATGGAGCTGGGATTCCTTTGAGAACACAGAACTTTGGAATAGAGGCTACTGAATGGAAGACGTAGTGTGTAGAATGGGAATAAGGGAAAGTAAGCAACATGGAGAACAGAGGATTAGAAACAGAATTTAGGTTATATCAAGAATAAAGCAACTCTTCCCTTTTCCCCAGAAGGAAACCTAGGCAAACAAGGGTTCATGACCAAGTATAGATTCCTTAATAAAATAACCATTTCAAAACTTGCATGTGTGTCACTAAGGGAGCCACTATTAAGATATATACGGCTTTCCCTGGGACGAAAGAGGGGAGTCTAAAATTCACACTGGTGGGGAGATGGAGGCTGAGCCCCAAGGGGACCAGCCTATAGGACTCAGAATGTCAAAGCCCCTCCCCCAAGACCAAGCGTGGGTTTTCGGGTGTCAACAGGCAACACTGACTTTCTCCATACAGCCCTTCTTGGGATGTTACTTGAGCCTGAATATCCCCAAATTGGAGAGCTATAAAATGGAGTGGTAGGG